TGGTCACTGTATGGCCGCTGCTACCTCCGCCACTTCAACGAGCTGGAGCATGAGCTACAATCCCGCCTCAATCGTGGCTACAAACCTGCCTCCAAATACATGAATTGCTTTTTGTCACCTCTGCTGACACTGCTGGCCAAGAATGGTGCCTTCTTTGCTGGCTCCATCCTGGCTGTGCTTATTGCCCTCACCATCTATGATGAAGATGTATTGGCTGTGGAGCATGTCCTCACCACCGTCACACTCCTGGGAGTCACGGTGACCGTGTGCAGGTGGGTCAGGGCAGCAGGTGGGAGCAAGCAGACTAACCTTCCAGGAAAGGTTTGCATCTCACCATGAGCTTGATCTCACTAGGTCCTTCATCCCAGACCAGCATATGGTGTTCTGCCCTGAGCAGCTGCTCCGTGTGATCCTCGCTCACATCCACTACATGCCTGACCACTGGCAGGGTAATGCCCACCGCTCGCAGACCCGGGACGAGTTTGCCCAGCTCTTCCAGTACAAGGCAGTGAGTGGAGTTGGAGTTAGGGCCTGCTAGAGACTGACTGGTAGCTTGGTGGTGAGGCCGAGCTCCTTCCTGCTCTCTTATGACCTTGGTCCCTTTCCTTTTAGGTTTTCATCTTGGAGGAGTTGCTGAGCCCCATTGTTACACCCCTCATCCTCATCTTCTGCTTGCGCCCACGGGCCCTGGAGATTATAGACTTCTTCCGCAACTTCACCGTGGAGGTGGTTGGTGTTGGAGATACCTGCTCCTTTGCTCAGATGGATGTTCGCCAGCACGGTCACCCCCAGGTAGCAGGAGAGAAGAGGGGCAGGTGGACAGGGATGATGCCAGTACATAGTGTCTTTGGACAAACTGCAAAAAGTCACCCTTTTTGAGCCAACAAAAAAGGCAGCTCTGCCTCTGGCCAGCCCTGCATCAGTATTTGGTACTATTTAGGACACCACTTGGTAACCAGCAGCCTGGGCTGGATTTCAGCCCTGTTTTGCACTATTGACCAAATTCCCTTGAGAAAGGCACAACACAAGCAACTGACCCAGCATGTTGCTACCCTGGGGTGGGCATTAGGGTCCCTGAACAAGATATGACAATGCTTTATGGTCTCTGTCCTCCAAAAGGGCCTACCTTGCAAGAGGTACAGGTAGAGTGCCTATAAGAGGACAGGCTTACTTACTATGTCTTCCCTGTGCAGTGGCTATCTGGTGGGCAGACAGAAGCCTCAGTGTACCAGCAAGCTGAAGATGGAAAGACAGAGTTGTCACTCATGCACTTTGCTATCACCAACCCTGGCTGGCAGCCACCACGTGAGAGCACAGCCTTCCTAGGCTTCCTCAAGGAACAGGTTCAGCGGGATGGAGCAGCTGCTGGCCTTGCACAAGGGGGTCTGCTCCCTGAGAATGCCCTTTTTACATCCATCCAGTCCTTACAATCCGAGTCTGAGGTATGTTCCTGGGGCACTGGGAAATGGGCAGAGTGGACTCCTGGAGTCGGGGATTGGGGTTATGGCATGGAATGGAAGGTTTCCTTCTGTCTGTTTAGTCTAGGCCATTGGGCCCTAAGGTATAGAATACTAGGGAACCTAGAAGCTTCTCCCCTGCTCTGAGAATTCTGCCCATCCTTTTTTTTTTCATAGCCCCTGAGCCTTATTGCAAATGTGGTAGCTGGCTCATCCTGCCGGGGCCCCCCACTGCCCAGAGACCTGCAGGGCTCCAGGCATAGAGCTGAAGTTGCCTCTGCCCTGCGCTCCTTCTCCCCTCTGCAGCCTGGGCAGGCTCCCACGGGCCGGGCTCCCAGCACCATGACAGGCTCTGGGTGAGTAGAAGTGGACCAAGAAGGGAGGGTATGATAGTAGTCCCAGCAACGTGTGTGGGCCTAAAGAGTGTTGATAACTAGGGCTGGGGATATAGCTCAGTGGTAGAGCACTTCCCTAGAGCACTGTGTGAGGACCTGGGTTCAATCCCTAGTACTGGGGACAAAAAAAAAAAAAAAATACTGACAACTGCTGTCTGTCTGTGCTGGGAGGGACAGGGTGGATGCCCGGACAGCCAGCTCCGGAAGCAGCGTATGGGAAGGACAGCTGCAGAGCCTGGTGCTGTCAGAATACGCATCCACGGAGATGAGCCTGCATGCCCTCTATATGCACCAGGTGAGTGGGCAGCTGGAAAACAGAACAGGAGAAATCAGGCATGGGTTCCCATCCCTTCTCTGCAACTTACCTGTTCTACAGTCTCCATTCTCACATATACCATCTTAATACCGTGTTAACCAAGCATACTTTCAGTGCCTTCAGTTACCTCTGCCTAGAGTTCATTCCCTGATATATCCAGATGCTCCCTTCTCCTCCTCCTGTTATTACCTCCTCCTGAGACTTTTCTCTGACCACTCTCAGTAAAAGCCTCCCTTACTGCCTTCCTGTTCTGTATTTCACCATGGCCTTTGGTACCATCTGACATACTGTATTTTTTCCTTATTTGTTTATTGTCTATACTCTGCCTAGCCACTACCATCACCAGTGTATAACCAGGGGCTGCTGGCTTTGTCTATTTTGTTTACCACTATGTCCCAATACTTAAAAGAGTGCCTGACACTTAGACCCTTGATCAGTTTGTTCTTGAATCAAATGAATGGGTAAAATGGGAGTCCTTACCACCTATGCACAGACTTTTCTAGGAGTCTGCTGAGAACAAACCTGTAGAGTATCAGGCATCTGGCATATGCTACTATTAACACCATATGTGCCCTGGGTGAAGGATTCTAGGTGAAGGGGGTACAAGTGGGAACTGGATGATACCATGATGGAGGCAGCTGTTTCAGTACCCTCTGTCCCCTCAACTAATAAGCCCCTCACTTCTGCAGCTCCACAAGCAGCAGACCCAAGCTGAACCTGAGCGGCATGTGTGGCACCGCCGGGAAAGTGATGAGAGTGGAGAGAGTGCCCCTGAAGAGGGGGGAGAGGGCGCCCGGGCCCCTCAACCTATCCCTCGCTCTGCCAGCTATCCCTGTGCTACACCCAGGCCTGGAGCACCCGAGACCACTGCCCTGCATGGGGGCTTCCAGAGGCGCTATGGRGGCATCACAGGTATCCATCTGGGGATATGGAAGGAGTAAGGTTGCAGGGAAGCGTAACTTTTTAGGGGAGGAAAGAGATCAGAAGGATGGGGCCCAAAGAGGCCAGTCCTCCGAGCAGTCCTTGAACCCATCTCCTCTTTCCTGTTTGTGTTATTTGTCTGTCCAGATCCTGGCACAGTGCCCCGGGCTCCCTCTCACTTTTCCCGCCTGCCCCTTGGAGGATGGGCTGAAGATGGGCAGCCAGCATCAAGGCACCCGGAGCCTGTGCCCGAGGAGGGCTCAGAGGATGAGCTTCCCCCTCAGGTGCACAAGGTAAGAGCTCTAGGGCTTGAGAACCACTACAGGCTGAGGTGGCAGCTTCCCATGTGGAGGAATGTGTTCCCACTCCGTGCACCCTCCCCTCCAAGATATACTCCCCTTTCCTTACTCACCTGTTCTGAAGTCCAGGGCTTGCTTTTGCTTATCTTCCCAGGGAATCAAATTTCTTTTTCCTTTATATCTAGGCTCCCTTGGTGCAGATATTTAAAACTATCTCCATTGCCAACCATTTTCTCTCCACAGGTATAGATAAGGCTGAGAAAGTCCTTATGCCCCAGGATGGAGGCCACCGCTGCCCTGCCATCCCATCCACTCACCATGGGAGGGCTCCTCTGCGTGTTGCCTGGCTCCACATGTGTGGTGTTTGTGTGTCTGTGCCTGGCCAAGGGAGGTGCCAACACTGGGCTTGCCACAGCCCCAGGAGAAGAATTTGTGGCCTAGGAACTGGGGGCGCACAGAACTCTAGCCTCAACCCCAGGACCCCCTTGGCTCAGAGTGTGGTGCTAGAAACTTGTCCCCAGCCCAGCCCCAGTACTGCCACCTTTGCACCCACCCCTGCAAGTCTCCAGAGCGCTGACTACCACAGAAGCTGCCAAGCAGGAAGAACCTGTGCCAACTGTGGAGTGGGGAGGTTGGGCCTGGACCCTTGACCCTTGCAGTCTACCCCCAGATGAGCAGTTCAGGCTGTGGCCCTTACCTCATCCCTAGTTCTCACCCAGTGCTACAGCCAGCTCACCTCTCTTCTGCTTCCTGCACATCACTGGCATGTGTGTGCTGCTTGCTCCCATTCTGTTCGCTTGCTCCCCTTCCATTTGGCTTTTGCTTTGCGTTGGAGTGGAGGCCCTAGCTCCCAGCTSCCCTCACTCTATCTTTTGACACTAACTTGCAGGAGCAGTATGGAAATTCTTTGCTGCCCTCTGCAACTTTTAGGATGGGCCCCTGGGAGATGAGGCCTTCCTGGGCCCCCATTGCTGCTTATTGTATCCCTACCCCCTGCACATGGACCGGACAGGGCTGGAGTATGACCTCAACCGTCTATATCCCAGCAAGAGAGCTCTGGCCCCCATCACGCTGTTCCCTAGAGGGGGATGGAGGTGGGATGGCCTCGCCCTAGGCTTTGGRCTGCTGCATTGCATGCTGGGACTCAGCTCCTACTCTATGTCCCACCCTCACCCAACCCTGGTCCGCAGCGGCAGAGTGGTGATCTCTGCTGTCAGCGCTCGCAGAGGAACGGGGTGGGGACCGTGTACAGCTTGATGACCCTCAATAAAGAAGGGACTTTGACCTGGTCGTGGCTTATCTCGTGCAACTAGGGTCCTGGAAACGAGGAGTGGGGTGCGTGCGATTCCTCCTACTCCCTGGAGACCAGGCGGGATTTGGTAGCAAGTGGGCCAGGCCTCAGCTAGAATACACCGAGCTTGCAGAGTAAGCTGAAGGGCTGCTTCTGACCCACAGTTCGGTGGAGGTCAAGGTCTGCGTCGGACGTGCGGTCAGATTTCCCGCCCTGAGCACAGGATCAAGTTGGCTCCGCCCCTCTATTTTGCCCACCTCGCGTGCCTCGTTCTTCCCCGCCCCCTGCCTCCGGAGACATTTGGCCAATAGAGACTCTGTATAGGGGATGGGGCGGGACAGGGTGGGGGCCGCTGCGGTAGAGGGCGGTGCGAGTCTGACATTGGGTTTTCTGTGCGCCAACACTTGGCCGGAGGGTCCTGGGCTGCGGGCGGAGGCGGCGTACGTGCCCTGCGTGAGTGCGTGGTGGCGGCGCGTGCGCGAAGCGAGTGGGCGGTGTGGCAGGTCCATGTGCGTCCATTCCCAAGACCCCCGCAGTTTCGCTCCGGGAGACTCCATGACCCAAGACACCCCGGCGTCCGAGCCTCTCCCTGAGCGGCCAGTCCGGTTCTCCGGTCCCACAGTGCTTGCAGGTTCGACCAGCAGCCACATATTGTCATGGTGATTGTGGGCAACTACTGTGAGGCCGAAGGGCCCGTGGGTCCGACCTGGGCTCAGGGGGGCCTGAGTCCCTGCTTCTTCTTCACGTTCGTGTCCTCAACGCTGATGGCCCTTGGGACTCTGGCCTTGGTGCTGGCTCTTCCCTGCAAGCGTCGGGAGCGACTCGTTAGCGCGGACGCTTTGTCTTGGGGGACTGGTCCCCACATCGCTCCTTACGGGCTGCAGCTGCTTCTGGCCACACTTCAGGTGGCACTGCCACTGGCTGGCCTGGTTGGCCGGGTGGGCACCGCCCGGGGGACCCGGCTGCCAGGCTACCTGCTGCTGGCTTCTGTGCTGGAGAGTGTGGCCAGTGCCTTTGGCCTGTGGCTGCTTGTGAAGGAACGGAGCCAGGCACGGCAGAGTCTCGCAATGGGCGTCTGGATCAAGTTCAGGCACAGTCCTGCTCTCCTGTTTCTCTGGACGGTGGCGTTTGCAGCTGAGAACTTGGCCCTTGTGTCTTGGAACAACCCGCAGTGGTGGTGGGCAAGGGCAGACCAGGGTCAGCAGGTGAGGGACCTTGTGGAGAGAATGGGAAGCACTAATGGCAGGGCCTGGGAAGAAGTACTGCATGTGTGGACTTACTGGCTCCATACTTTAGGATGGCTCTTAAAAAAAGAAAGGAGTGACCAGTGCCTGCTGGGTGCTGATAGCCAGCTGGTGGGGCGTGCCTGTGCTGAGTCACTGTGGTTTTTTTTTTTTTTTTTTTTAAGCCTGTTAGGTGCTGGGCTCCTGAGGAGGGCTCAGTGTTATGAGAAGTAGTCAATGAGATTTTAGTGTCATTCACATTCTGTGCACATTTCATTTTAGGTTCAGTTTGGTCTGTGGGTCCTGAGATATGTGGTTTCTGGAGGGCTGTTTGTCCTGGGGCTCTGGGCCCCTGGACTTCGTCCCCAGTCCTACACCTTGCAGGTTATTGAAGAAGACCAAGATGTAGAAAGGAACCAGGTATACCTTGTTTTCTGAGTCCTGAGATGTGTGTGTGTTGTGTGCATGCRTGTATGCACTCTGGGTTTCCATCCCAGGGTCTCCTGAATGCTAAACGTGCTCTACCGCTGACCTACATCTCCAAGTCCTCTGAATCCAGATGTCTATCTTTATTTAAYTCCCTGTCATCATTCCCTCTCCCCAAAAAGAGTTAGTTCTTTTCCCAAACATCAATTTTTGACCCAGTAGTAGCTTTCTAATCCCATAAGAGATTGCTCAGACACTTGGGAGCTATATCCCCATACATTTTTCCATGGAACATTTTTGGCTAGTGAGTTTCTTTATCTCTGAGCTTCTCTCCTCTGTGTGTTATCATCCTAGGCTGGATCGACAGACCAACAGTCTACTTGGCGAGACTTTGGCAGGAAGCTTCGCCTGTTGAGTGGCTACCTATGGCCTAAGGGGAGTCCAGCTCTGCAGCTGGTTGTACTCATCTGTCTGGGGCTCATGGGCTTGGACCGAGCACTCAATGTGTTGGTCCCCATCTTCTATAGAGACATTGGTGAGGGGGAGAAGGAATACAGCTTAGCCTGCTGGTTCTTCCTTGGCCTGGTGGATGAGGTGGCTCTTACCTAGGGAGATGGGACAGAGAGAGGTGGGACAGTGGGACCTAGGTGGTCAGAAAAAGACAGCTTGGGGCAGTTTTGCCTGAAGCAAATCCCGGGTGCCCAAGTGACCTTTTTTTTTCCATAGTGAACTTGCTGACTAAGAATGCCCCTTGGAGTTCCCTGGCCTGGACTGTTACCACCTATGTCTTCCTCAAGTTCCTCCAGGGTGGTGGCACTGGCAGTACAGGTGTGTGGGACYCTGCACTCATCCTGGTTGGCATCAATCCCTCCCACAGGCATTCCCTTACCCCTGTGCCTCATTGAGGATTCCTTTCCCAGGTCCCTCTGTGCTTTTAGACCTTTCATATCTTAGTGTTGGGCTGACATCCCTCAGCCTCAAGCCCTATTGAGGCTTCCCTGCTCCCTAGGCTTTGTGAGCAACCTGCGCACGTTCCTGTGGATCCGGGTGCAGCAGTTCACATCACGGTGTGTGGAGCTACGCCTCTTCTCCCACTTGCACGAGTTATCACTGCGTTGGCACCTGAGTCGCCGCACTGGGGAGGTGCTGAGGATTGTTGACCGGGGCACATCCAGTGTCACAGGGTTGCTCAGGTGCCACACGAGTGGGAAGGGCATTGGGAGGGTGGGACCCTGGAGCAGGGGTAGAGGAGCTATCAGAATAGACCTTGCCTGACCTGCTACCCCTCTCACTTGGTTTATGTTTTGTTTTATAAATCATAAGAGTGATATATACACTGCTGTCATAATAACTTAATGCAGACAASAAGAGATCTCAATTATATCTGTGCAGACTCACAGAATTAATATACTGTGGAAAATTTTCCTAAATCAGGTTTTTAGGACATAGATGTTGTTCTTAGAGTTCCTTTAACAAAACCTCATGGGGGTATATTTTCATCCATGCATGAAGATCTCCGCTACTCACCATAAATGATAACTTTATAGAGAATTCTGTGATTTGGGCATGCCATGGTTTATTTAGCTGTGTATCTCTGGAAAGACATTTAGATTGATTCCAGTCTGTTGCTGTTGAAAACAAAACACTACACTAAAACTCCTAGAGGTGGGGTTGCTGGGTGTCAGCCATCAACCTTTTGTCGCTTGACTTGCCCTCTTAGCTACCTGGTGTTCAACATCATCCCCACGCTGGCTGACATCATCATTGGCATCATCTACTTCAGCATGTTCTTCAATGCCTGGTTTGGCCTCATTGTGTTTCTGTGCATGAGTCTTTACCTCAGTGAGTACAGCTGGGTGAAACCATCTCTCTGAACTACCTAGGGCTTCCTTGGCATGAGCATCACTACCCACTTTGGGGAGGCTGAAGATTGGTGGACTTGATTAGGATATGGCTCCTCCTGGCATGGTGGGCAGGTTTCCTGCTCTGTCACGTTGAACCTTAGTTCACCCTAGATAAAGGACCAGGGAGGGACATCCTTGTCACATTAGGWCCCTCCAGTGGCCTCAGGTCAAGGAGAAACTCATTTATGCAGTTAGATGCATTTTGCCTTTACCTCAAGACGTTTTCCACTCATAGGCCTTTGAGTAAGCTGCAAAGATATCTTAGACGAAGCTCCTCTCCTCAGCAAGCTTAAGGCTCTCTTCCTCTTGAGTCTGGGTCCCAGGGCCCTAGTATRGGTTTAGTATGTATGGCAGGTAGTGGACATCGACGCTTAGTCTTTGTTGTTGAGGATGATGACTTATTCTCCCTGCCYCTTACCCTGTCACCCTCCAGTCCTGACTATCGTGGTCACTGAGTGGAGAACTAAGTTTCGCCGTGCCATGAACACACAGGAAAATGCCACGCGGGCACGAGCAGTGGACTCTCTGCTAAACTTCGAGACAGTAAGGGAGGCCTCAGGGGCAGTGATGAGAGGCACAGAAATGTGGAGGAGGGTGGCTAAGACCACTGGGGTGATGAGGACCTAGAGTTAGTGATATTTGGAATCAGGAAGGGGGATTAGGAATCTGGATGAGTGACCTGAGTGCTGTGTGCTGTTTGACTTCATCAGGTGAAGTACTACAACGCTGAGGGTTATGAAGTGGAGCGCTACCAAGAGGCCATCATAAAGTATCAGGTGAGGATGTGAGGTATGGCCTCCTAAGAGCAGCAGGCTGGTCATCTGGGTATTGTCAGGGCTGAGAGTAGTATAGTCCAGGTGGTGAGATCAAAGGTTTGGGATTTGGTGATGGTCAGCGTGTATTTGACATTCCTCGCTCCTGTGTCATTACCTTCAGGGTTTGGAGTGGAAGTCAAGTGCTTCACTGGTTTTACTGAATCAGACCCAGAACTTGGTTATTGGACTTGGTCTCCTTGCTGGCTCCCTCCTTTGCGCATACTTTGTCAGTGAGCAGAAGCTACAGGTGAGGCAGAATCTGGAAGAAGAGAGTGGGGTCAGGGAAGAAAGGGGCCTGGGGCCTGTGTCTGAGCCTTCAGGCCCATGAATGGGAAGTGGGCAGGGCAACAGGAAGAGCAGCCTGCAGACCCCCTATAACTTGTCGGCTTCCCTGGGTCTCCACAGGTTGGAGACTTTGTGCTCTTTGGCACTTACATCATCCAACTATACATGCCCCTCAACTGGTTTGGCACCTATTACAGGTAATTGCTGGCTCTCACCTGTTTGATGTGTGTGTTGCTATTTCCCAGCTCCTCAGAGGAACCCCAACCCTCACCCTTCTTGCAGGATGATCCAGACCAACTTCATTGACATGGAGAAYATGTTTGACCTGCTGAAAGAGGAGGCAGAAGTGAGTGGAGAGAGGAGTGGGGCTTGGTTGGGTTGTTTCTTGTGTCTGGAGTTTTTTTCATTGGCTGCACTCTGCCAGGTGACGGACCTTCCTGGAGCAGGGCCCCTTCACTTTCAAAAGGGCCAGATTGAGTTTGAGAATGTGCACTTCAGCTATGCTAATGGGTGAGCCCTCCTCTTTTGCCTTCTTTCCTTTCCCCGTATCCATTTGCACACTGCCTTCCTGCCCCTGGTCCTGCTCTGAACCTTGGCTTTGCAGCTTACCACTACCAAGGAAGAGAGCCTAGGTGGGGAAGGGCATCACCCAGTAGTGGCTCTAGTAATTGGAATAGCCTGCTGACCCCTCCCATACTTCTCTGCAGGCGGGAGACCCTGCAGGACGTGTCCTTCACTGTGATGCCTGGACAGACACTGGCCCTGGTGAGAAGACACCCAGCCACTTGGCCCATACTTCTTGAGCTTCTCTCATTCAGTGCCTGTGGCTCATGACCCGGACTAGGAGTCAGAGCCTTGTTATAATGCAACAGGAATGAATGTGTTAGACTTCATGGGTTTTGGTTGCCTGTTGGAGCCTTAAAAGACCTGAGTGGACCTGAGTGTTTCCCTGTGTTTCCAATGCAACAGGTGGGCCCATCTGGGGCAGGGAAGAGCACAATTTTGCGCCTTCTGTTTCGTTTCTATGACATTAGTTCTGGCTGTATCCGAATAGATGGGCAGGACATTTCACAGGTAAGGTTATTGGGGACAAGACTATAATTTAGAGGCCTGTATATAGAATACATGATACACATCTTCTGTAGTGGTCCAGGAAAGCAAAGCAGTGGCGGCATATTTATTTCTATGGATGGAGAGAGGTGAGAGGTGAGAGAGGGTGAATGATTTGCCCACCCAGCTAGCATTTGCAGTGGTGATGGCAGGATTCCAATCTTGGACCTCTTAGCCCTTGTGCTTCCTGCCATCCCATTCTACTTCCCAGGCCTAGGGGATCTCACAGGGTGTGATATATAGTCTTTTGGCCCCAGGTGACCCAGACCTCTCTCCGATCCCACATTGGAGTTGTGCCCCAGGATACTGTCCTCTTCAATGACACTGTTGCCAACAACATCCGTTATGGCCGTGTCACAGCAGGGAACAACGAGGTAGAGGCTGCTGCACAGGCTGCAGGCATCCATGATGCTATCATGACATTCCCTGAAGGTGAGGTACCTCTGCAGAGTCCCCTCCCCTGCCCAGTGTAGTCCTCTTAATGCTTCTGATCTCTGGTTACAGATACTAAGTTTATTATATGTGACTTGAGGGAGGTGGGCATATCCACAGGGTACGAGACCCAGGTGGGTGAGCGGGGTCTGAAGCTAAGCGGTGGGGAGAAGCAACGAGTTGCCATTGCTCGCACCATTCTCAAAGCTCCAGACATCATTCTGCTGGATGAGGTGAGGCCCCAGCACCCTTCTCCCCTCTGTTCTCCCTCTCTGTGCCCAAGCCACTTTTGCTAGGCATTTTCCCACCTGCCATTGGCATCACCCATCTGTTTCACCAAAACCCTTTATGGTTCTCAAGCCCAAACTCTTTATTTCCTGAGCCTCAGGTAGCAAGCAGCCTGCATCCTCCTCCCATTGGGATCTTTGGGTGGCAGGGACATTTTACCCAGACCCTCTCTGTAGGCAACTTCAGCCCTGGATACATCTAATGAGAGGGCCATCCAGGCTTCTCTGGCCAAAGTGTGCGCCAACCGCACCACCATCGTGGTGGCACACAGGTACAGGACTACCAGACCTGGGTGGGTGGCAGTGTGGGCCACTTCTGGTACAGTGGCAGATAACTGATCTCTGACTTTTTAGGCTTTCCACTGTGGTCAATGCTGATCAGATCCTTGTCATTAAAGATGGCTGCATCGTGGAGAGAGGACGGTGAGACACACAGGATGAACAGGGGAGGGGCTTCTAGAGGGGGGGTCCCTTGCTGTCCCCTTTGTCCTCTCATCCCACTTTCTCTACAGTGAAACTTACAGTTGGTGCTCACACTTGCTTCCTCACCCCAGGCATGAGGCACTATTGTCCCGAGGTGGGGTATATGCTGATATGTGGCAGCTGCAGCAACAGGGACAAGAAGAAGCCTCTGAAGACACTAAGCCCCAGACCATGGCTCAGTGACAAAAGTTGTGGTTTCTTCCCTCTCACACACTAACTCAGGGGAATAAGATGTGTCCCTTTTCCCTGGCTTATTTCATCCTGGTCAGGGGTTTGGTGCTAGCTGTTATGAGGGAAAGGGGCCTTTTAGAAAAGTACTTTTTGGGAAAATAAATGTGTGGAATGTGTGAGATCACTGTGGCTTTGTCTGTGGGGCATTGTGAGGGCTAAGTCAACAGAGCATTTCTGACATTTACTGTCTTGGTTAGAGAAGGAAAAGACACACATCACTTGGATATCTTATTAACTGCCAAGGTCTTTATTCTTTCCAGGCCCCTCCCTGCCCACTACCTATGTGGGGCAGCCCCCAGGCAAAGGGATGACATGATGAAAGGGGCTGAGAGTGKGGCTTGGCTAGCACCCACCAAGGGCCCAACCAGAAAATGGTTTTCAGTTACTTTCTTCCTGCAGCAGAAGAGCTAGCAGGACCTTTCATAGGCTCAGCTCGGCAAGCCTTCTGGTGCTCCTGGGAGCGGCCTCCGCCTCACTTCTGCTTCTCTCTGCACTCCAGGTTGCTGTGTGCCTCCTCTCTCTGTGTACCCTGGAGGTGTGAGGGCCACAGTCCTTTTCAGCTGAGCCTCCCTCCCCAAGCCCAGGACCCTAGCACAGGCTGCAGTTGGACGGCTTCAAGCTGCGGCTCTGCGCCTGGAGCAAGGAGGGGGAGGAGGAGGAGGAGAGAGGGTACAAAAGTCAAGGAAAAAAGAGGAAAGGCCTCATTTCAGAACTTAGCACTGGCTRGGGTCACACTGAAAGCAAAAGGATAACCATCATCCCAGCACTCTCCAGCACGTAGAGGAATACCCCCTATACACAGCTTCTTACTCCCTACTAGCTCAGGGCCTCATATTTATCACACTATCATACCTGCTGCCGTTGGTATTCTGCCTCACTGGCAGATAGTGCTTGAGCTAAAGCCAAGTCTTCTTCCTCCTGAGAACTAAGAGAAACAACTTGAGTTGGATGACAGTAATATCTAAAATTCAGTCATCCAGTCTGCTAGGCATCATGGTGCTGAGCACCTCTAGGTATTACTGCAGTCTTCATAGCAATCTAGGATGGATGCCAGTATTGTCCCCATTGTATAAAGGCAATGAAAGAACTGGTCAAAAGTTATCTTGAGCCCAAGTTCTTATTATTTTGTATTGGGTCAGAGTGGTCTCCCCTCCCTCCAGACTGAACCCTTGCCTATGTCCTACTCTCTCTCTCTCTCTCACCAGAGTAGATAGATACCTTGGGATTTGGGGTTTGGTCTCTGCCAGAGATAGTTCCAGGGCACGTTGCAGAGCCTCATCCTCACTCTACAAAGGAARATATAAGACAAGTTTCCTTGGACATTACTCTCTACCTGGGTTTGCTTCTGTCCATCCAACCTTGCCCAACTCACCAAGCCATTCTGCAAAGTAATCACTGGAGGGACTGTCCGGGACGGAGATTGRGTTGTGGCTCTATGGCAGACATATAAGAGGCTGAGATTAGAGATGTGAAGGGGAAAAAGGGGAGGGGAGAAATGGGCAAGCCTACCTGCTGGGAGAAGTAGAGGAAGGTAASGTCCGACTTGGGCTAGGAATGGTGCTTGCAGAAGAAGCCAGACCTTGTGATCTGGAAATGGCAGCAAGTCTGTAGGGAAGACAGTCTTGGCATGCCTCTAAGAACATGTCTTACCCAGGAAATCAGAAAGAAGCTAAAAGATTCCCTTGGCCAATAAGGACAGCGTTGAAGCTTCCCAATTTGTAGTAATAGAGATCGAATCAGTTGAACAATTACCCTGCCTTGCTGGTTGGGTGCCCCTCCCCAGAGCAATCATGGTCCAGTGGGTGTCGGTGCTTGATGCAGAAGTTTCGGCCACAGCGCTCACAGGTCAGTTTCATCATCTCCCGCTGCCGGCAGCCAGAGCGTTCACACTTGTTGGTGAAGATCTGAGGTGAGTTGAAAAATTTTAAGTCTGAGATTCTACCCCTTCTCCAGCCCCATCACTGGAGTTTACTGTTTAGATTTGCAGGCACTGGTAATCCCAGCTGGATCACGATTAACCCTTCAATCACTGACCTTGCGTTTTTGCTGTGCTGGATCAGAGCGACAGTCTCTGTCGATGTGCTCTCCCACAGCCCGGTCAGGGGGCTCCCCTCTGGCCACAGGCACAGGTACATTACACAGGGGACACACGGGTACCTGGATATCCTGTAGTCAAGGGGCAGGAGTCAGTCTGTGGCCCACTCCCACAAATCTCTGATCCTGAAAGAACTTTGATATACACCCCCCCACACTAGTGCACAAGAAAATCCAATGTTCCCCAGTATTGAGCCTCAAAAAGACAATAACAGGGAAAATGTAGGGCAGATTCTGGAGATTCTGAATGCAGTCACCATCTGCCCCCTCTCACCCTTACGATCGCCCCCCTCACCTTTTGGTAAGCGGATCCACAGTGATGCTGGGCGTAGGCCACGTGGTCTGCACAAAAGATGCCTGAGCAGGCATCGCACTTGAGCGGCAGAAAATCTGCAGGAAGTGGATCGGATTGTAGGTCTAGCAGGACCTGGCTGTCCTTTCTTCTCACTCAAGGCTGCCACTCGGGAAGAAAAACGCCACCCTATTGGCAACACACTGCACCCCTTCCCTAGTCCAATACCTTTTGCCACGCCCCCTCGCCACCGCCCCCAACTTCAAGCTCCGCCCTTCTCTGACTTTGCCAGCCCCGTACCCCTCCCTTCTCACCCCACCTGCAGTCCCAAGCCCTTTTCTGCTCCGCCCGCCTCCCCGCGCGCTCCGCCTCTCACCCAAGCGCTGACAGCTCGGCTCGGAACAGTGAGCCCCAAGGTCCGGGAACTCCATTGCCGGGCCGGGCGGAGCCTGCCGGGGTAAGAAGCGAGGGCTGAGCTTCCCTAGGACCCTCACTCCGGATCCGGACCACCACCCTGCACTCAGAAAGGGGCTCCCGGTCCCGCCCCTTCCTCTCCCCCTCCCAGCCTGCGTTACCAGAGCCTCTGGGCTGCCGGTCCACCGCTCCCACTCTTCCTTGGGCGCGCGCGGGCGCGATGACGTCATCACGCAGGGCGGCCCGCGTCCGGCCCGCGCAGTCTCAGGGCCGAGTCCGGAGAGATCCATCAGAGCCCCGCCTCTCGCCCTGCAGGTCCAGGAGTTGGGTTCTAGTCTGAGGTCCGTGGGTTGCCGCGCACCGGTCTGGGATCCTGAGCTCTGCTGTAACTCCGGGAAGGGTCTTTYTCAGTCCTCAGGGATGAGCGGAAGGAACGGTGACGGCGAGGACAAATGCTCTTTTGGGGACAAGGGCTGGCTGGGATAGTCTGGAATCAGGCTTTTCACAATTTGGTCTCTGGCCAGATTCTCATTCCACGCCCTCCCGCTGGCCATTTCATTCATGTCCAAGGTTTACCTACTCTTCAGGAGCTGACAGCTCTCATAATTCTTTGCAGTGCAGATCCCTCTCCAGAACTACAGATCCCTTCTCTAGGTCTCAGCTTTGATGCCTTCCTCTGAGACTTCTCWGACTCTTCTCATTCTGAGCGAGGCACACCTTCTATGCCATCTCTCTTCCAGCACCCATCGCACCTCACTGTAATCAGCTCTGCAAGCCCTGCACACATAAATATACTTGGGAGTTGGGGACCATGTCTATTCTCTGTCAGGTCCCAACACCTAACAGTGTCTGTAAGAGATTTCAGACTTGTATGTGAAATCTCAGAATTTATGAACACTGAGCTCTTCAGTAATTGTTCGCTTTTTWAAAAAAATATATTTTATAGTTGTAGATGAGCACAATACCTTTATTTTATTTATTTATTTTTATGTGGTGCTAAGGATCTAACCCAGTGCCTCACACATGCTAGGCAAGCATTTTACCACTGAGTGACAACCCCAGCCCAGAAATTGTCCCTTTAAGGGGCCTGTGCGAAAGCTGAATCCCCATGGCAGAGGACCCTTAAGTGCACACCTGGATAGAGTCTCCAGCATGTCATTAGCTTTGACTTCAAGTTGTGACCAGAGATTCCGACAAATCTTGAGCAATAGGATTAATCTAGTGAAATGACTTGTAACAATCTTAAGATTTGACAAGTGAAATCAGTGAGTGATGGCGATTAGCCATAGCTTTGTTCATAGACTTTGAGAGGAGAAAAAAGAGTCACATAATTACATGACTTAAATCCATGGGWGTAAGCTACAATATCAACTTTTTTTTTTTTTAATGGAGCTCAAGTGTCCCATTAGTCAGAGGTATTGTAGATAAGAGTCTCTTTTCCAGCTGRGCACAGTGGCAAACGCCTGTAATCCCTTCGGCATGGGAGGCTGAGACAGGAGGATCTGAGGTTAAACCCAGCCTCAGCAAAAGCAAGGCACTAAGCAACTCAGTGAGACCCTGTCTCTAAATAAAATACAATGTAGGGCAGGGAATGTGGCACAGGGGTCAAGTGCCTGAGTTCAATCCCTGGTACCCACCTCAAAAAAAGTCTTTTTTCCTGGTTCTTGGTTCCTATGACAGTGTGGTTATATGGCAGATGGYTTGTATGTTACAGGTTCAATCTTTTTTTTTTAAGTATTTATTTTTTAGTTGTAGTTGTCATATCTTTATGAATCTCATTGGCTAGATGCAGCAGTCATATCTGCCAGACCCATTTCTGACTTCAGTTGCTGCTACAGTGGACAGGGGCCATGAGTCCACTTCAAAGCACAGCCTCAGCTTTTCTGAAAGACTAAARACTAAGAGACTGGCTCCTCATTTTCTTTTTCTTTTCTTTCTTTTTTTAGTTGCTGATAGACCTTTATTTTATTTATTTATATGTGGTGCTGAGAATCAAACCGAGTGCCTCACACATGCCAGRCAAGTGTGTTATGCTAAGACCCAAAGGCACTCGACCATTGMGCCACATCCCCAGCCCTATTTTGTATTTTGTTTTAGAGACAGGCTGTCAATGAATTGCTTAGTACCTTGCTGGTTGCTGAGGCTGGCTTTTATACTCGAGATCCTCCTGCCTCAGCCTCCCAAGCCACCAGGATTACAGGCATTCGCCACCTGGCCTTGCCCTCACTTTCAATTGTAGCCTAGCTTATCTCTCCATTCTGGAGGGCAATTGAACTCTTGAGCTTATTTCCTCTGTTAACTTATCCCCATGCCTAGATT